TAATGGAAATGAATCTTTGCATTTTTATTTCATAATTCTTCCTTATTCCATTAATGTTATTTAGTAGCTACTTGAAATTAATGTTCGAGTCGGGTTGCTATTGAAATCAGTATCATCTCTTTCGAATTTAATTTATTGTAAAAGTGAATATTTCTGACTAATAAATTAATAAAAAGGCATCTTAAAATTTTTATTTCGCGATCCTTGAATAAATATAATCCAAAGCAGCATTACTGCATTACTTTGATATTAAATGTAAATTATATTTCCTCTGTGATATGTATAAATCGGGCGTAGGATCCGATTTTTAGAATTTTAAATTTCGTCGAGATCGAAGCTTCGCGTGGCAGGAGGTTGACTTTTGTTGGCTGCATTGTCATCGGATGTTGTTACAGAGTTCAAATTGAACATGGCGATTTCTGAACTTCCTCTTTCTGTTTCTTTCCGAGTAGGCAGCCACCATGGTGAGTATTTGAGAAAGAAAGTTTTAATTCTGTCATTAATTACGTCTGCTCGAGGCATTCTCGTGAGTGTAACAGAAATTCGTTTCTCGTATGGTGCAGTGTATCTTATGTAAATTGCAACTTCATCGTAAATTGTACACGTGATTGAGTGTATAACCTACGACCACATGGTGTATACAGTATAACCGAGACATTTTAATTTATCACTGTTACATCAAAATATATTTTAACCTTCTTCAGAGAAAGAAGACGTTTCTTATCAATTACTTTCCTTATCAATAAATTAGAATTCTCTATAATGGCAATTCCACACTTTTCATTAGCTTCGATGTTTTGCTGATACCTTTGAGACACCATATAAAAATAAATTGCAGAACTTTCACTGCCAATAATTTAAGTTTACTTTTTCTAAGCTAGTATTTTCTTCGACCGAGTTATCAAAATGAAAACCTCTGAATTAAACGATAGGAAAGTTCTTCCCTTTGATTGAAACCTGTTAAAAGTAGATGCAGTGCGTAAGACAAACAAGTGTAGATTTAATTTTATTTTACAGCCGCCTAAAAAAGATACCAAGGGTTCTTCGAAACAGCCACAAAAGACACAGAAGAAAAAGGAAGGAGGATCTGGTGGCAAGGCCAAAAAGAAGGTTCGTGTCAACCTATTGTATCTACAATTGATTACTCAATTAATCTTTAATGATGATCACATTAATCTTGACAAATCCTGGAAGCAAAAAACTGATTTAATGAGACTGATACAAAATGTTAAATGTTTTCCTGATAAATTCTAGTTCGACGAAGGATTTAAATATCGTTCTTTTTCTTCTCAATTGCAGAAATGGTCCAAAGGAAAAGTACGTGATAAGTTGAACAACCAAGTACTGTTTGACAAAAGCACATACGAAAAGCTACTTAAGGAAGTGCCACAGTATAAACTGATTACACCATCAATCGTGAGTGAAAGGCTCAAGATCCGTGGATCTCTCGCTAGGAGAGCCCTGATCGAATTGCAACAAAAAGGACTGATAAAGCAAGTTGTGCAACACCATGCACAATTGATTTATACGCGAACTACCAAGGGTGACGATCCTGCCGCGTAATCAGTTTCTATGCAATGTATAATAATAAAGTTAAATAAAAAATTTTATTTAAAACTTGAATTTTTGCGCGGATAGAAACACATCCGACTTAGGCAAAAGCGTTCACGTAGCTACTAACTTAAACTATATTCCTATCAGAATCAAAATTGTGGAGATATTCACAAAATAGAAGCAGCAATAAGAAATTCAGAACTTTTTTAGAGTTGATTTATGGTACTATGGTTAACTATACTTGCAGAGGAGATTGTTCTGCATCCGAAGTTGAAATCACCATTCTAAATAGTAAAGCTTATTTATATTATTTTTACACGATCATTCTTGTGGTTCTTTGCGAGGCCTACCGACAGCTTTAATTAGCAATAGAACTTTGTATTTCAGAATTAAATTATAATTTCTCAAGATCTATCTGTATCTGCGATGTGTATAATCTGAATGTGATTGAAAATCAAATCGAATTCTGGCGAGATCGCGCTCGCTCGTTGTTTTTCAATATAATGGCTGTGTTCGAATGAGACACGGATCTTTTCTTCTGCCCCGTTCTGTACCAGGTACAAGCTGGTCTCGACGCTCAAAATTCTAGTACACGCAGCCATTTGAAATGACGAAACTGATCCCCGACTCGGGTTTATCGACGTGACACACAACGAGGCGTCCTTCGGCTCCTGAACGGAGCGCGAACTGCAGCTGTGGCGACAAAATTGATATCGAAAAAACGCACGTTCTCGCGAAGGAAGAGTGCGGGCAGACGTATCGAAGAGGGAAACGAGAGAATAGGCTTGTGCCATTTCACTGAAGCTCCAAGGGAAACCGCGAGAGGAACGGAGGTGAGAGACACGTGTGCGCGAGGAGGAGGAAGAGAAGAAGAAGAAGAATCAGAATCAGTTAATCTGTTATCACAGGATCGGAAATCCAATGAAGATCCACTGGCATGGACACGCGACTCAGCCCCCGAAATTCGGAGGTGAACGCTCTTGAGCAGCGGGGCTATCTTATTGGCAAAAAGATCGGACAGGTTATTCACCCCCAATCCCGTATTCTTCTCTAGTTCGTTAACCTTTCCCTGCTTGCCTTCCTGCCTCTGCGTCATCGTTCCGCACCCTACGTTTATCCCGCGACGTTACGCGCTCTCATTTTTCTTAAATATTTTTTTTTTTTAAACGACCGCTCCCTTTCGCGCGTTCTTCATACTTACTTTTTATACGTCGTCCGTTTCGCGGGAATAATAATTATCCCCGAAGGCGAACTCGGATTTAAACTTCGTATACTTGTCAGGGCTCGTATGCGACCGTGCACCTGGCTGAGTACGTGGATGGTACGAGCTCCAAGAAGTTGCGATTAGCCTGTAAGATATTCGACAAAGAGAAAGCGCCCCTCGATTTCCTGAACAAGTTTTTTCCCCGTGAACTCGAGATCCTTACGAAGATCGAAAATCCGCATATCATTCAAGTAACGACACCCAATCATTGGCAAAAATCTTCTTTCAAACGAATCGCGGATAGTCTCGTTTTGCATAAACGCATTATGATCGAATTTAAAAAAAAATAAATAAATAACTAAAAGGTACACAGCATACTGCAGCGCGGTCCAAGAGTGTTCATATTCATGCGCTATGCCGACAACGGTGACCTCCTGGACTTTATAAAAAGGAACGGTGTGGTGCCGGAGCAGCAGTCGAAGCTCTGGTTCAGGCAGATGGCTTCCGGTCTGCATTATTTACACGGGAAGAACATCGCCCATCGCGATCTCAAATGCGAGAACATCCTGCTGTCCAGGAAGTTCAACGTAAAGCTCGCCGACTTCGGGTTCGCCCGGTTCTGCATCGACCACGATGGTAGGCGCGTTTTGAGCGAGACTTATTGCGGTTCCGCGGCGTACGCTGCGCCGGAAGTCGTCCTCGGCACCCCCTACAACCCGAAGCTGGCCGACGTCTGGTCCCTCGGGATAATTTTATTCATCATGTTAAACGGTACGATGCCCTTCGACGACTCGAACTTGAAGAAGCTGTTGAAGGATCAGATGTCGAGGAACTGGATGTTTCGCTCGAGGGTGCGGGAAACTGTGTCCGCGTTAGCCAAGAGCATCGTTAAACACATTTTGGAGCCGGACATCACCTTGAGGCTAACGTTGGAGAGGGTCCTGGGCCACGAATGGGTCAGGACCAAGAAAGAGAAGCCTGGATCTCTCACCGGACGTTTGGTACACTCAGCACCGCCTATCCACGCTCAGGTAATTCATAGCGATGGTTTCTATTCGTATAATGCTATTACTTACAAATGAAATGGTAGAATCAGAAAATAGCATTATACGAATAGGAACCGTCGACGACGTGGAAAGATAATTTCATCTTTCACGTTTTGAATCCGCGTCAAGACTTGCGGTGGGAACATGGTCGGAGCCGGGGCTGCTGGCGGTTGCAATATACCTGTAGTACTGAGAGGTCTGCCATCGTTCAAGAATTCGGACAATCAAAATCATGGTAACGCCGTGAAGTCTACGGACAACGCGGGGAAAGATACACAGCTGTCGGCCGTCGAGTGAGACGATTTTAATACCACGGACCACCAACCAGGGATGAACCACAGCGGTCGTTCGTACGTCGAACGGTCGAACGGTTGAGCGAGGTGGCGAGATAAAATCTGGACACGTTCTTCGCAACGCACGAGAGACACAGATTTGTACAATGCATTTTTCTTTCTTACTTTATTTTCACGATTATTGTTGATCTATACATGGTTTTTACTAACGGATACTTTAATAAAGGATATTACTCTATTTTAAGGACGTGTGGTTATCTGTAAGTACGGGTGAATAAGAAACTCGGTGATAATAATTAAGTTTATTGTACATCTAGTCTCTATTAATATACAAAACTATCATTTTTTTGATTACACGCCCGCGGCGTCTACAATTATACTGTATAAGTAGATACATAATGTGTAACGGTAGAAGGAAATATTTTTTCATATATAGTTTACATTAAAAACAACAAATAATTTACACGATTTAATAATAAAAACTGAGTCAATCTCGGCCGGCGATAGCACCCCCTGATGTTAAAAAATACACGTACAATATGTTATTAGAACCCGAACGAGATCGACTCGGCGATGAAGTAAAAAATGATCAAAATTATTATCATCTAACGAGGTTGCTACAAGGTGTAACATGATTATCGTTGTAAGAATAGGTATTATTTCGTTTGTCATCTTAATTAAACATGTCGCGTATAGAAATAGAAAAGAGCGCGATTTTAGCTTCTTACGTGTGTTTCGTTCAACTGCGAATCGTTCCGATGCAAAACTTTCATGAAGACTAAGCATATTCCTGTTAATCAGTTCTAACGCGGAATCGAAGAAAGTGCACTCTTCACGAGCGCTTCGATACGATTTCTCTATTTACAAATACTATAATGAGGTCTAGAGATAGATTTAAGTAATTTTTTTTACATATGTCAATCAAGCATTCTCAGATCAGACTTCTTCTTCATCTTAAACCCATCCACCCGTCAGTTTGTGGAACATTTCCTCGTTCAGCGTTTGATTCGCGTCCTTGGATCGCATCGAGAGGAATATGTACCCTCCGATGAACTCGTGAACGACTTTGCAATCGGCAGATTGGCACTCGAAGATAATACTTTCCTCCTCGAATTGAACCATCATGTGCTTCACCTCCCAATTCACGTTCCATGCCTAAACAAACGAGAACATTATCAATTACATTGAAAAATGTTTGATACAAGACGACGAATCATTCCCACTTACCTTCATCGTGTTGTATCGCCAAGTTTTCAAATGATCGCCACTGTGCAGCTCCATTCGCATCAGCCTGTTGTTCGCAATTCCCAGGAGTTCGTCCTTGCTTTTCCCAGTGAACCGGACTACGAATAACGAAATCCCGTATTCCGGCAGGGACTGCCAAGCTTTGACGTAATTCAGCTTGGCTTCTATCAGTGACAAATCCTTCACGTTGGCGTGAGCTTCCAGAATTCGTTGGACCAACTATGAAAAAAAAAATGAAATGTCAATATTTTCAAGAAAACAATGAGTGAATTTATTAAAACGAATGAAAGAGAGAGAGAGAGAGAACATACCTTCCCCTTAAACTTCTTTACGAATCTGGGAGCGACGTAGTCTTCTGGTACGATGTCGAGAGCATTTGGATTTATCGCTGGTGCGGGGGCGGGCCTCTGCAACTGCAAGAAGGCCGTTATACTGTTCACCTCGCTTTCGTACGAGGCGTCTGCGAGGGAGCGTCCTTTGGCAGCGAGTCTGCACGCCGCCATCCACTTAGCATATTGCTGTTCCTGTAACAGAACCGACAGAGAATCCAAACGATATTATCTCTCGTTTCCATGATCGGTCTCTAACGATGAAAGATTTATTCGATTCTTCACTCACGTTGTCGCATCTGATCCACATCTCGGTCATGCCCTCGGCACTAGGCACCTCCAACCTGATACCGTACCGTCCTTGCGACAGATGGACGTCGGGCGTGACCTCGCATCCACGCAAATTGATCACGTGGGCAGGAGACTCGCTGTTGGTCTCCTCGCGAGTTTTATAAAGCCTCAACTGTAGATCTCTGCAGGTGACCCAGTAACGTTTGAACGCTTTCAAAGTGAAACGTTTCGGCTTGAGGAAACGCAGGAAATCGCACAGTTCAGGGACCTGGGTGATGTCGCTGGGTCCATTGCCGATGTTGCTCCCTTCGAGGGTTACTTGGAGATCGGTCAAGGCTGCGTCTATGTCGTCCTCGACCGGCGACGAAGCCCCATTGCTGTCGTAGCAGCTCGGCTGCGGCACACTGGCCTGCAGATTTACTTGCACCTGGGATACAAATACAAATATCTCGTATTCTCTTAATTACGAAATAAACGGTTCTATTCGAGAAAAACCGGTAGGCGTAATAAAACGCGTTATCTCGGCTGAAGAAAACTAGATTTGCATGCGGGGGCGCCGACGCACAGCCGGGATCGAATGTCTTTAATTGGACAAACGCTAGGATCAGGCTTCTATTTTTACGCGTTCCAATAATCCTGATCTCCCGGTGTCAGCGTCGGCCTATTTTCGTTTACACACTCCGGACGCATATGTATACGTAAAGCGGCACGGATGTTTGGATCGTGAAAATACTCGCGTAAACGATGGACCAGCTGGCCCATCGCGAATTCTAGCCAATTGCTAATAAGCATGTTCGGTCGATAGATCTACGAGTCTAAAGAGGCTGCAGATTTTTGTATACAAAATAAATTCCTCTCGTCGCCATAACTTGGCATCGTTGAAAATGAACGTGTACCTGCAACGCTGCGAACATGAGCATCTCTTCTTCGGTGCAGTCGATCTCTTCGGCCAGCAGCTGCCACTTCGCTTGCTCGTAAATCATGTTGATCCTGACGGCGTCGGTTTTCGGGTTCAGGTCATAGAACGAGTAGAACTTGAACTTAAGCCTGAGCGTGTCAAATTCGCGGATTCCCTGCTCCATGATCGACAGAGAGGAATCGAGCCAAGCCACGTTCATCCTTGCTCTCTCCACTAAATTCTTCGGCCTAATTAACTTCGACCGTACTTCTGGCGAGATCGACGTCGGACTCTGCGCCAAGGATTCTGATAATCCTCCGTTCAACACCTCCAGGCTCGTCGTGCTGTTGTTAGCGTTGAACGAGCCCGTGCTACCGAAACCAGACGAGTTGTTGTTCCTCTTCCAAGTACCGGTTTGCTGAAACCAGAATGAGATCACGATCACGCTCGTCGGGCGATAAACATGGTTAATGGGGAAACGGAACGGGCGAGAAAGAAATTAGTTTTCTGATGATGAACGGCACCGCGCGACGGTAATGATAGGCCGATATCGATAAATCATAGCCCTCGCCCGATCGTCGTGATTATTTATTACCATAACAGGTCCTGGTACCTCTGATCTTATCTCGTTCGAGCAGTGCCGCGATCTGACAATTTCTATGCAATGGTACGCGCCGCAACGGACAGTTTTTAATATTCGACGTATTTATGCTGACCGTAACGAATGAGATTTTGAAACTGATCGCAGAGCGCTCATGCTTACCGAGACCGGAGAGCTGATCGGCGTGCTGTGATTTCTGTTGTTGGGCGTGACCGGCGCGCACATGAACGGGCTGCTCTGATCCAGGCTACCCGTGGATCCCCGGGGACTCTGGCTCACCGGGATGAACGTGTTCGTGTCCGCCGGGACGTGCCAACCGTTCTTCTGGCTCTCGATCTTCTTCTTCGCCGGAAGATCTTTCAAATTGTACTTGAGGTGGTTCGGCTCCAGCGGCTTGCAGAACGACAGCTCTTCCGGATGTCTGATTCCTGAACCATTGCAAATCCAGAATTTTAATCGGATCGACAGTAAATGTCATCCGAATCATTAATTGATTATTCAAACGCGTGCATTTTGCAAAATGTTCCTCGAGCAATTTATCTGCTGGAGAGAGGTTCGCGTGTTGCCACGTCTATTCGCGACTGTGACATGAGGCAGGCTATCGGCGAGGTCATCTGTTCGCGACAAAAAAACGAGGATACGTATGTAACGAGTAAACGAGTTAACGAGTTTTCGCAATTCCCGCCGCGTGAAACCGAGGATCGATTAATTAGCGAAATAACAACGAACGTTTTTGAGATAATTTTTGGTATAGCGGTTTTAATATCGCGGCGAGCGAGTGCCACTTCCTTGATTAAAAACGCGACCCGTTAGGAGCGCGGAGGATCCCGGCGACCTTCGCGTGACTGGGAATTTAACAATTTTATTTCATTATCGAGACTAATTAGCACCCGTCACGGCTCACGTGTCGCGTGAGCCGCCGTCGCCGCCGCCTGCGCCTCTCGGAATCTCGCATCTCGTTTTAAAACGTCGACCTCAGCCGCTGCGATAAACTCGCGTTAACTCGAAATAAACTTCGATCTCATCAATTTGGCACCTAGTCATCTTTAAAAAAAGATGCTTACCCAATTCCTTGCACAAGTTGATCACCGCGTTGAACGTCTTTACGGAGAAGTCGACTTTGCAATCGAGACATCGCATGTCCGGCAATTGGACTCGCAGAGTTTTGTGCATGGGAGTGAAATGCAAGAAGGCATCCGCTGCAACGCCATACTGGTCCAGGGTGCTCCTCGTTCTTGTCAGCCAGTGATTCCTCTCGGGCCACCATAGAGCGTGATCCGACCAATCTATCGCGATGTCTGCAAACAAATTGAAAAAGAAATATAATTTTTATTTGAACGGTTAATTCGCTGGTGTGACGAGAATGGACACAGTCGATTGGTCGATTGCCGTAGGGGGTCGATTGTTTAATGCTCCTTAAAGGTCAATTTATCAATGAGGATCCAACGAGACGTGGAAGCGTGTTTATTGCCTCCATCGTCGGCCCCTTTGACCGTTTCGCGATCCAGGAAATAGAGAAACGCCCCTATAACGTTGGGGAAGATTATATTATCTGGATGCATCCGATCTACCCTCGATTGGAACACAGAAATAATGATAAAATCCACTGTACAAGCGCATCGAATTCATTTGGCATCTAATCTCTTCAGAATTTACCACAGCGCTCAGCTACGTATATTCGTTTTTGTAATAAAGCCCAGCGTGGTGCCAAGAGTGCAGCGATTTCATTTTACATCTTCGCTTTCGAAGAAAAAAAAAAAAGTGAAACGAATTTATTCTGCAGAATCTTTTCTTTCTCGCATCGTATATTCCTTTTTGCAGGTCTGTTGGATGGATCGTTAACTGGACTCGGTGAATTCCGCGCGATAACTCCGTAGATTTAATTTCTCCTGCGGTCGCGAATGTACGACTTCCCAAGTCCCCGACCGCAGCCGCGACGACGACGGCGACGACTCGAGCCGTTTTCTCTGTTTTTCTTTCGGACCCCGTATCCGGGACATGTGCGTCAGAGTTTCACGACGAACTCCGTCCGGGCCCACGTTTTACGTACGTTCGACTTAATGATTGCCAAGCAGTCCCACGCGTTCTACTTGCGTTCCTTTACGCCTAAACTTATTACTATTCAATTTCCACCTCGCCATTATCATATTTGTTGTCTCAAATAAGTGACAGGAATGCGAAGTATACGTATTTTATGTCTCTCAAGCGGCGATTTTTATACCGTGGGGATCGTTTGAATAATTTTCTCGGGACGTAGTTTAGCGAAACAGATTGCTCGATTCTTGCACCCCTCCGTTCGCACCCCGAGACACCGTGAATCGGAATACCATTACACCCCAGGGACTGTGTAATTGCCGGGAAGAGCCAAGGTATCTACTAATTACGCTCTCCCGGAGAGAGTAACTGTTGCGATAAAATCTCCGAAAGGGAGTGGCGACTAAAAATGTTCAAAAGACTTCCGCTCTTCCCTTCCCTTCGATTTCGCGTCCCGACACTCACAATAGCCGCCTCTGAGAATTGACTCGGAGGCTGGCTGTATGTCTCCGCACGCGTGTACGCAGTCGAAGATATTTGCACGTCCCCAACCCTTTGTCCATTCTCCCGCACGAGCGGACCGCTCTCGTAAGAGCACCCGAGAGGAGAGACAACCCCTTGTGTACGAGAAGACGTCGACAAGGGTGTCGGCAGGACGGCTCAAGGGTTTCATCCCTCGCCCAGGCCTCTCGAAACCCGGGTGGGGGACCCGGGTCCGTTTCTGCGGTTCGAGGAAACACGTGCACTACCGTTCAAAAACAAATTTTCACAGCTGTCCTCGCTCGGTTTAACGACTACCGAAATCCGTGACATTCTCGTCTTCGGTCCGAACGTCGCTCATCGAGCCGACTGTTCTACCAACCACATGTTGCTACGGGGTGTGAAATTCTACTTCCATCAGGAAAACCGATTAGTTTTCCGTTTGACTTTCTCAAATTCGTGTAGTTTATACAATTCTTATACGAAACTGCGAGGCAGTAATTAATTTTCCTCCGGAAGTAAGATGATCCTTAGGCTGTTCGCTGGGAACTTGGATCCCCGATAGATTTTACCATAGCTGATTGGACTGATAGAATCGTCTAACAATAAGAGCACCCTCGATTTCAATTAACATGTGCTAGTTTCCCATGAGGTCTAAATAGTTAGACGAAAATTCCTAAGATCTCGTTTTTTGAGTCTTCTAATGATTTTTCCGACACCTTATTAATATACACGGAAATAATTCGCCACCGACTCGTTACCGAAGAAAAATTCCAAACAGGCGCCGCTGCGTCGCTTGCGATCAGACAACCGACATCAATATAACAATTAATTCTAGAAGAAGCGTCTTCTTTATTATCTGAAGAACAAAGCTGACAGTGGATTGTGAATTCACGGGACGGCACCAGTGTACCGTTAATGGTAACAATTTTTCCCACCGTCGCGGCCCACGCCACGGTTTCGCTCCGGATTTTTCGCACCGTTACATCGAAGCTAAGAAGCTTACATGGCACGAAACAGCGAACGATTCTACAGCTGCGTTCTATAAATATTTCGCGAATTTCTGGCGTCTCCCGTGGAGATCTCGGGGAGACCTTCGGCGCCCACGCGGATCCTTAAAACCGCGGAGTCGAAACAACAATCCCGATTCCCTTCCACGAAACGGTTTTAGTTAAAACAGGGGAACAATGATTCTAAAATTGTCTCGCTCGGATTACAACACACGATCGCAGCTACCTACAAAGCGTTTAGTATTCATTGTGCCTTGCGCCTTACGTCTGTAGCCAACTTACAACGTATTAAACCGCCTTCAACATGAAATATTTAATTAGATCCTCGTGCATGCATAGCATCTCATGCAGATGCAGAAATTTTTATAGTAAACAACGACAAAGTACAAATTATTTATCTTACGATATTGTTTTTTTAATTAAAAATATAAAAGAATAGAGAATGAAAGAATTTGAAGATCCGCTTGGTTTTTAAGTGTTGTCAAAGCAGGCTGAACTTTACGGTAGTGACATTTACTGTGACAAGGCTGGGCAGGAAGTTCGCCCGATGAAAAGTGCAACGAACGGTCGACGCACCTCTGCGAAATGTATTATCGTGAACGGGAAATAAAACGGGCGATTCGAGGGGTTCGATTATTATCGGCGATCTCGAGGCACGAAGACGGCCGATCAGGAGCAACAGCATAGGTAGAAATCGTGCCGATTCGCCGACAAGTAAATGTTCTTTGCATAACAACGAAGCTTGTACAGTTAGGAGCGGCACCGTGACACACTAACGAGAAAAACGACACGGCGGCGGCGGCGGCGGCACGGCGACTTGTACCTATCTCCTCGCTTTATTCCTTGCGCCGCACGGGCAGTGACCGGAAACCGTGTGAAAATACGCTAGGATCCTCAGTTCGCATGGGAACTAATTAACAACAGAATGTGAATCTTCAATAAATTCAAATTAAATCACTTCCTCGTTCGTTTCTATCTTAATTGGATGTACTGGGATTTATAATTGTAGTTTGCATTCTCAGTTCTTAAATAATAACAAGACAGATTATATTTGGCACTGTTTCTAAATTAGAAACCAGGAATTTATAATTCCTCGGTTCGACGTCAACGACCGCGATATATGCGCTGTTACTATTTAAAGGGCTCCGTAAATTGGTTCTAAAAACCGAGGCGAGGGTGGACGCGTTTTCACGCTGGGTTACAGTAACGTTTCGAAGCGTGCAATCGAAACGCCGATGACGGAAAGGAAACTGTTGCGAGTGGAAGTCTATTTCGGTAGTCCCGCGTCTGGAGTAAATGCGTGCTCAACACGAATCCGTGGAATCCCAAAAGAAACACCGGATTCCACGACGATGTAGCTTGGCAACGAGTAAACTCTGTGTTTTCCCGTCTGAACGACAACGAAGAGCACAACGGCAGAGGGAAAATGCCGAAAAGGAATGCGAAACGAGGAACGTTTAACTGAGAGAAAAATGCGACGGTTTTCAATTAAAATGTAAAAGGGATGAAGAGCACCGACAAAGGGGCTGATTAAGAATGCTACAAAGCGGCGGGTAATTTGAATAATTAGACGAGGGGGATTCCATTGATATTGCAAGCACGGCACCTGCGCTCTCGAAGAATTCCCCGCGATCGGAATCGATACGGCAGCCCGAAGAAATTGGTGGCACCGTCGTCGTCGCGTCATTAATTCCGGAAATTTAGCACCGCGGGCACACCGGGACGTCATTAAAAAATCCCTGAAGACACGCCGATTCGTGTCGGATATCGTTTACAGCTCCTCTCTAATTACATTACATTTGTCCCGCGTTCGGCTCTGCGTGTACGCAGCGCTCGTTCTCTCTCAATCCCGTTTCACAGCCCCGTGCGTTTTATTAAATGCAACAGGTATCAAAGATGCGAGGATCCGTTCCGCCTCATAAAAGTGAACTTAATTTCGTGCATGCACCCCTTTCAGTTTTATCACGTTCGCGAGATGTTTTCTTTGAAAATACTAGAGTTCCTTAGGCGAGATTATCTCGCTGCATAGACGTAAATATTGAGGAGCACGAGATGCACGTGCGGCTTGTGTAAACGCTTAATAAGGGGACAAAACGCGGTCGTCGCACGTGGCCCACCCCTTCGTTTTCGTTTTCACGGTGCACGCGGAACAAACGATCTGCGCGACGGAAGTCGCGGTGTATAATATTATGACGCAATAATGGGAGAACCAGGAGCGCGGTGACAATGACGCATCGCTTGAAAAGGACCCTTCCACCCCTTTTCTTTTGCGAGTTCCTGCGCGAGGGAACGCAGCCACCCTCTGTGGCTCCGCGATTGTGCAAAGAAATGTGGGCCATTCACACAGGGAAGGACGCTTGGCGAGCTCCGTCAACAACGACAGGGGTGGATTCGACCCTTGCAAACGCTGCTCGAAAAGAATCCGTTTGCAGACATCCATTTGACCTCGTTCGCATCGAGTTTCATGCTGTATAACCTTGTCGAATTTGGGTTAAGATCAGAACGATATTAAAAAGATATCGATTACTTTATGGATTATTTCGTGGATGAAATTACAAGATCATCGAGACACGCGTTTAATCCATTTTCGAAAAATTACATCCGTGTCTGGAATCGCAACCCCTCGCGACTCTCGTGGCTCTATTCGTACCGTGAAGTCACCCCCGAGCGACACAAAGAGGAGCAGACGAAATCCGTAGGAACAGACCGGGAGGAATTAGGTACCACGCACGCCCCTTTGATTTCTCGGCCGATTAACCGCGTTGCCACGCTGC